CCCTAGAACTCATAGAAATCTGCCTGCCTCTGCCTCTTGAGTGCTGGGATTAAAGGCGTGCTCCACCAATGCCTGGCTCAGATTTCTTCCAGGGACTTGATCTTCATATCCTTGACCAGGAGGCCCAGCTTAGTGATGTGGATTCACTCCTTGTATAGGGCTTTACCTTCACAAGCCCCAACAATGGCCATGGCCTCAATCATGACCACAGTGCCTAAGAACGCTGCCAAATACTCTGGGGAAGCTGCTGTGGCTTCCTAATCCTGAGTCCCCAGGTATTCTGGGCCCTCTCACTTCACCAGCTTCATCCACTGTTTGGTATTTTCCCAAAGAAGCAGCAGCTAGACTCATTTATTTGTTTATGAGACAGAATCTCAGAGCTGACCTCAAACTTCTAATGTAGCTGAGAGAATGACCTTGAACTTTGAATCCTTCTGCTTGCATCATCACAACATCAAACCCAGTTTATATGATGCTGAGGATCAAATGCAGTGCCTTGTTCATGTTAGGTAAGGATTACAACTGATCTATATCCACACCTCTGAAAATGATTGTAAAACAATTTTAAGGTATATTTAAAAATGTTTTTATCTGTGTGTGTGCTTGCATGAGTTTATGTGTACCATATATGCAGGAACCATTAGAGGTCAGAGGGTGTTGTATCTCCTGGAATTTGAGTTACAGGTGGTTGTGAGCTGCCACGGGGACACTGGGAACTGAACCCAGGTCCTCTGGAAGAGCAGTAAGCACTCACTATTTCTCTTGCCCCATATTGTATGTTTTATAAAATTCAAATTAGTACATACATATGACATGCAAGTATGTATATATGTTATGGATATACATGCTCTAAGGCAGCAGTTCTCAACCTATGGGTTGCAACCCCTTTGGGGGTCAAATGGCCCTTTCACAGGGTTCACCTAAGACAGGACGCTCCTGACTTGCATACCTCAACCCCTACCCTGAACTCTGCAGCCCAGGGGAGAGTTCACTATATAATCCATTCATTTTGGTTGCCAATTCTATTTGTACATTTGGGCCTCCTAGCTGCTGCATCTGATTCCTTCCCCTTTCTCCCATATCTCTTCTCCTTCCCCATCCCCACATGGCACAGCTCAGTCTGGACATCTGGTCTCTCCCAGATGTCCCAGATTCTACCTATGCTCTCCCATGTATCTACAATAAACTTTTTCCTCTACCATACTTAGGAGCAGTCATGTTTTCCTTTTTTCATTCATTCATTCACCTCTCTCTCTCTCTCTGTCTCTCTCTGTCTCTCTCTCTCTCTCTCTCTCTCACACACACACAATAAAAAGCAAACAAAATTACTCTTTTGAAGTCCTAATGACAGGCTGATGCTTATCTTCAGAGTATCAGTAAGCACACCACTGTGTGTATACTTGGTATCTCAGAATGTTGGTACTGTCTGTCTCAAATGGGTTTGAGACATATTGCTAGAAGTCAATACTGATAGTCAGGACATTTGAGAGGGCTGGTTTTCTCACATGCTTGGGCTGAAGATCCAGTTTGGAAAGTCAAAATGTGTCTGTCTGAAGATGAGGTAAATTGGCCACAGGGAGAGATAGGTCAGCAGAAAAAACCCAGCTTTAAAACCAAAATCTTGAATGAATAAGCTGAAACTTGCTTGATCTCCATTTGGAGCCTTATAAGTGTAGCTGAGGCAATGTTGGCTACATTGTGGAAACAAGAGAAAGGTGTACTGGATTTATATTATTCTCTATTCTTTGAGATTTTTGAAATTTTTCATAATAGAAGATTCAAGAGACAAATATATATTTGATAACATAGTTGTGGATGTGCAATTATATAATTTGTCAAAACTCAAAGATGTGGGCCTATGAGATGGCTCAGTAGGTAAAGGTACTTGCTGCCAAGCCTAAGGCCTCAATTTGATTCCTAGGACTCACATGATGGAAAAAAAGAACCAATTCTTGAATGTTGTCCTCTGACTTCTGCACATGACCACACATATACACACAAAAATAAATACACATTAAAAAGCATCAAAGAATGTATAGTACCCAGGGCAAACCTAATGTAAAAAAATATAGGTTCACTGATTGTAACCAACAGGAGTCTGATGGGCTGTTTCTGTAATTTTACCTCAGTTTTGCTATGAACTTAAAATGGCTCAAAAGAAAGAAAGGGACAATAGTAATGTAATTTTCTTTTGGCAGTGCTGAGGATAGAACATAAGACTACTGAGCCCCCAGAATATTCTTCAAATAGTCTGGTACAGGAGCTGGAGAGTGTTCAGTCTATAACTGTGCAAACATGAGGACCTGAGTTTGAGCCCCACAACCCACATAAAACAAAAAGACAGGTGTGGGGAGGCAGGCATAGGTGGATACCTGGAGCTTACTGGCAGCCTGCCTTGCTTAATTCTGAGTTCCAGGCCATTTGAATAAACAAACAAATAAATAGAAGTTGTGGAATGTGGTGATACATGCCTTTCATCCCAGGACTTGGGGGACAGAAACAAGCAGATCTTTGTGAGTTTCAGGCCATCCAGGGCCACATAGTGCGACCTTTCTCAAAACAACAAAACAAGTAACTAATACTAGTCCTGGTGGAATCTGCTGTAAATGAGGTTTCTCATCCCATCTGCCAGTTCTCAAAACAAAACAAAACAAAACAAACAAACCAAAAACCAAAAACCAAAACCAAACCAAACCAAAACAAAACAAAACAAAAAACCAAAAAAAGCCCCCTAAAAAACAAAAACCTCTAATGCTTAATTATAATTATCTGGCTAAGGGCTCAGGCATATTACTAACTAGCTCTCACAATTAAATTAACCCATTTCTATTATTCTATATTTTACCATGAGGCTTGTGGCTTATTACCTCACATCTTGCTTCCCCAGTGGATACATGGCATCTACCTGACTCTGTCTTCTTTCTCTCCATAACTCTGGATTTTCTGCATGGTTCTATTCTGCCTAGCCATTGGCCAAATCAGCTTTATTTATCAACCAATAAAAGCAACAAATATTTGCAGCATACAGAAGGACATCCCACATCATCTCCCCTTTTCTAATTAAAAAGTAATGTTTTAATTTTAAGATAGTAACATTACATATAACAAAACAGTCACTAAGCAAGAATTATAGTTATAATATTTAGCCTATTTGCATTTAGCAAAATAAAAGAAAATACCCTATCATCTATCTTTGTGAGTCTAAAGTTTTATATCTAATTAATCTTTTATCACAACTAAGGAAAAACTATAACTGTCTTTAGAAGTTTATAGTATTACCTCAGTAAACTTGAAGTACATTGTAAGCAACTTTCAAAACTTTAGAAATGACAGAGATATCTGGCTGCCTGGACAGTCACCCAAAGTTCTGTGACATTGGGGCATCCATCTTCAGCCCATAGGCCATAGTATCTGGCAGATTTTACAGTGAAGTAGGAAGATCTGTTATGCCTTGTACTGGCAAAGTTCATCAATTGGCTTCTTCTGTGTACTGTAGAATGTCTGGCAGTTTTCTTTGTGAAGCAAGAACTCTGAAGGACCATCCTGTCTTGTTTGGGCAAGTTCAACAGTCACTTTCTTGTTGGTCCTGCATGTCCAGTTTATACACCATACAGTCAAGCATTCCAGGTAAGAGCAGTTTCTTGCACAAATGACTATTTCTACCATGTTGAAGGCAAACTCCATGAAGACCTTCTTCAATGCCCATCATTCTCTTGAAGTAATTGGTGCTGCCAGAAGCAGACATGCCTCACTGTTGAGAAAAGTCTAAGTTCTTAAAACATTTAAATGCCATATTCTGTAGGTCTTTGAAGTGTTTGAAGATTACCTATCCATCTGAAATATATCTCTGCATATCTAGAAAACCTAACATGACTATAAGTTTGACTATTATAGATTTGTATTTCTAAACTATACAATACATTTTTTTTTTGGTTGTTCGAGACCGGGTTTCTCTGTGGCTTTGGAGGCTGTCCTGGAATTAGCTCTTGTAGACCAGGCTGGCCTCAAACTCACAGAGATCCACCTGCCTCTGCCTCGTGAGTGTTGGGACTAAAGGTGTGCTCCACCAACGCCCGGCTTATACATTACATTTTTAAATGATTTCCATAAACATAATACCTTAAACAAGAGTAGAAATACACACATACTATAACAAAATTGACCTTAAATTTGTATAGATAAACGAAAATCCATACCAATGTCTTCATTCCTATATCATATCCCCCTCTTTTCTTTAGAAAGTGATTGACTATGAGCACTAATTTTTTATAATCAACTTCCTTTAAAAGAAAACAAACATTTATAAACAATATTTGGAAATTTGGGCATGGCTTTGTAGACCACTTCCTGCTGATTGTTGGACACAGTAATCTTATGGGCACCCTGAGAAAATTTATGATTATGGTCAAGTCTTGGTTGGGGTATTTTGTGTAGTTGGTCCATTTCAGCCAGCAGTCCTGAAGCTGTCATTGATGTTGGATCACATGGGATATTATTTCAGGGGGGCTTGTTTGATCAAACCATATTTTTAAAATACTTTATTTTTATTTTATTTGCATATATGTCTGTGTGATGGTGTCAGCTTTTAGAGTTACAGACAGTTACTAGCTGTCATGTGGGTGCTGGGAATTGAATCCAGGCCCCTTGGAAGAACAATCAGTGCTCTTAACCACTGAGCCATCTCCCCAGCCCATGATCAAACTATATTAACCTGGAAGGAATCCACAGCTTTTCATCTTCTGTGGAAACAAAAGCAGAACCTCTTTTCCAAAGTAACCTGTCCTTAGACCCAAATTTTGAAGTCAAGATACCTTTATGTTGGTTTAGCTTAGCAGCCCCCACAATCAAATCTCTCTCTGCAGTTAGCTCATTAACAGGCAAAAAAGTTAAAGAAAATACAATAATATTTATAATGCAGACTCTGTACATTTTCTATCTTTACATGGCCCATTATAATTTTTATTACTCTATTTCTCCTTTAAGGACCTTAGTTTATTATCCTTAAATTATTTTTTATCTGTGTATGATTCATCTCTCTCTCTTTTTTTGGGTTTTTCGAGACAGAGTTTCTCCGTGTAATAGCTCTGGCTGTCCTGGAACTCGCTAAGTAGACCAGGCTGGCCTTGAAGTCACAGAGATTCTCCTGCCTCTGCCTCCCGAGGGCTGGGATTAAAGGCATGGGCCACCAATGCCCGGCCCGTGAATCTGTTTTTATTGTGTATCTGTGATCCTTTTTTTGAGGAGAATTTTTAAAATGTTAAGCAGGTGTGGCTAGATCTAAAGTGACAGCTTTGGCTGTTGGCTTTGCCATGTTCTGCTTTCCAACATGGAAGTAGCAATGAGCATCATGCTTACCACTCCCCACCTCCCCCCCCCACTGTTGCCCTCCAGGAACCTGTAATACTATTTTCCTTCTCAAGTCTTTGATGGGGTTGAAGACTAGATGGCTCCAGTTACAATCCTTATATTTTAACTAAGAGCATATGAGGTATGAGAGTCAGATTCTTCAGGATAGGACAGCTATCAGAGTAATCTCTGTAATTTGTCATTCACCCAGTCTGGAATTTAGTATGTGTTTCTTACTTGACAATGTTCTTGTTGGTTGTAGTTCCAGTTTTGTTTGTTATTACCCCTTCTTTCTCCTGGAAATATTTGATAATCATTCTTTTTGTATACAGTTTTGTATTAGGTTTAGAACCTTCTTATTTAGACAAAAAAGGGGAAATGTAGTGGGTATTTCCTCCATCCATGACCTTGGGCTATCTGGCCTGATAGAGGCAAAGCTTCTCACCTGCCTATGTGACCTCTTAGAAAGGAAGGAGGGAGGGGGTGCGCTCTCTTGGGTGGTGAAGACTGGTCAGGTGGCATGAAGAAGTGTGTGATGGGTCTCCATCTTACCAAGGACTGTTACGATAAATCTTTCCGCCAAAAGCCGCCGGAGCCCCACCGCCACATGTGCACTTTACGCCAGCTGCCTGCCCGAGTTAGGGCCCAAATTAATACACAGAAACTTGTATTAGGTACAATGCTGCTTGGCCAATGACTAGGATTCCTCATCTGTTAGCTCAGTCTTAATTATCATAAATCTATATATTTTATAAGACTTATAGAGGATGCCTTTCGTTGGGGCCCTCTCTTGCTGGTGGCTCACATCCCGCTGCTGGAGGAGGCAAAGGGGAAAGAGAACATTTCCTGTTTCTCCTTTCTTAAATATGAGTCTCCTTGCTATGTCACTTACTGCCTGGAACACCACTTCTCTACTACATTTCCCAGAATCCTCTTTGACTCCTAGCCCTGCCTAACTTGCTGCCTCATTGACCTCATTTCTCTACTACATTTCCCAGCATCCTCTTTGACTTCTAGTCCTGTCTAACTTGCTGTCTCATTGGCCAAACAAGTACTTTATTCAATAATCAATAAAATGAACATACACAGTACATTCCCCATCAAAGGACTGTGCAACTGGATTTATCATATCCTGTATTCATGAGTGTATTTCCCTTTTTCATATCTTAATAAATCCTTGTTACCCCTTAAATACACTACAATCTGCCTTTAATCTCAGCACTTGGGAAGCAGAGGCAGGAGGATATTTGCAAGTTCTAGGCCAGTCAAAGGTACAGTAAGACCCTGTTTAACAAACAAATCTCCCTCTGAATAACGTCAACAACCTCCACCAAAAATCCAAACCCAAACCTGTGGTGATATATTATTTATGATTTAATAAGGATTGCCTGAAGATCGGAAAAGCAACCAGCCACTAGCTCTTACCTCTACCTCAGACTGAAAGGGGCAATCCTGTCTTCATGAGATGGAATTAAAGGTGTGAGCTCTAATTCTTTTTTAGACCGATTCAATCTTGTGTAGGCCAGGGTGGCCTTGAACTCAGGGAGAGCCATCTGCCTCTGTCTCATAAGTCCTGGGATTAAAGGTGTGTGCTACCACTGCCTAGCTCTATGACTAGCTAGTGTGGCTGGCTTTGCAGTCTAATACTTCAGGCAATCTTTATTAAATCATAAATAATATATCACTACACAAACCCAAACCAAATAAAGAACCCAAGGTAGACAGCATCTGGCCTCCATATGCATATAGTGCATCCATATGAACACACACACACACACACACACACACACACACACACACACAGAGAGAGAGAGAGAGAGACAGAGAGAGACAGAGAGATAGAGAAACAGAGACAGAAACTGTGTTTGATACAGACTTAGAGGGCTGGATATCATAGCTGTTATCATTACTGTATCTGAGACAAGGAGCTGAGCCCTGCTGACTTTCTTGTTTGACCCTTTTAGTCTGGGACACACAACTCTCTTTTCCTGGCATGCCTCTCCTCGTGGGCACCCCACACCTGCCACGAAATCCATCCATTCCTTTTCCTTCCCCCCCCTCTCTCTCCCTTTTCTCTCTTAATATTTACTTATTTAGTGTATGTACCTATACATGTTTAGAGGACAGCTTGCAGGAGTTGGTTCTCTCCTACCATGGGCTCTGGGAATCACCTGGTTTGCTAGCAAGTGCCTTTATCCAATTGAGCCACCCTACAGACCCACCCCCCTTTTGGATGCAGCACCTCATGTAGCTTAGACTGTCCTGGAATTTGCTAAGTAGCCATGGTTTGATTTTAACTTTTGATTCTCCTGCCTCATTCATCTTCCTAAGTATTGGAATAATAGATGCATACTACTACACCCAGCCCTACTCTCATTTCTTTTTTCTTAAAGATTTTATTTATTTATTATGTATACAGTCTTCTGCCTGCATGCCAGCAGAGGGCACCAGATCTCATTACAGGTGATTGTGAGCCACCATGTGGTTGCTAGGAATTGAACTCAGGACCTCCGGAAGAACAGTCAGTGCTCTTAATCTCTGAGCCATCTCTCTAGCCCCCTACTCTCATTTCTTAATGACTGGTTTGCTCTCAGCATTTTTTTTCTGAGACTCCGTAGTTAACACCAATGCATTAAAGGCTTGGAGAGCAAGTTGCCACAGTAGGACAGAAGTCTAAGTTTATCACCTGGCATGGCCACCTCAGGGATACCTTATGAGCTCCTCAAATTACTATGCCTTGATGTCTTCCACCCAGGAAGTCCAAGTTTTGTTCACTCCATTCTGGAACCCGGTTGCTTCTGCACTCCTGGAGTTGATATTTCAGTGCCTGTACTGGTTTTAATTCCCATCTTCCTCCCTATAGGCTCACACTGGGCTACTGAGAGTTGGTGAGCTTCTTTGGGTTCCAGAGTACAGAGCTATCTTTCTAATCAAGACCATAGGAGATGCCAATTGGGGAGCCACTCTGCCTCCTATGTGAGTCACATCTGAGCTACAGGGCCTGTTGACAAAGGCTGTCTGCTTAAGTTCCAGGAGCAACAGGTTGGTTTATCCTCTAGGACTCATCTGTCCCCTCCACACACAAAGGACAACATCTGAATACATTTTATTCCATTGCCATTGATTAGTTTATTAGCAAACAGGTCATTTAGAAGGTGAGACCTCTGACAAACTGCATATTGCCATATACTTGTGAGAAACTTTGATTGGACTCCAGCTACTTGGGCACCAAAGGCCAGTCCTCCATTCATGTTTGCAGAAGTGACCTGATTAAGCTTTGATATGGCTTACTTAAAAAGGATCACACTGAAAACAGGGTTGGATGGCAGTGCAGTGCCTCTGGGAGGGAGAGGATCTGGAAGGTGTCCCAACCTACCCTCTGGCTGCTCCAGTGAAAGGAGCAAGCACTGAAGACCCTTGCCTCTGGGGTCACTCAAGAAACAGAAGATGACACAGGAGGGGCAGAGGAAGGGGCTGGGTGGAACTGACTGTGGAATCAATTTTAGGAAAACAGGGACACAACTACCTAAGCTCCATAGCAAAGTGAAATGGGCCAGCCCTGCAGCCCTAATAACCTTGAGGCCACTTTCAAGCCCTGATGTATTGGGGCAAGGGAGCCTCATGCTTGGGCATGGGACAAGGCCTTCACCCTACACTGGTGCCATGCTGCCTCCTTCAGTCTGGTCCCAGAGCTCTGCTGTGCTAGCCCACCATGCTTCTTCGAGGGATACAGCCTTCCATCTCCAGGGCCTCTGGCCAGCCCTCATACTTGTTGGTGTGCTTACTGTTCTTCACATGCTGTAGGGATTAACAGGAAGTTATGATCTGGCCCTCAGTGGCCAGCCACCAGGGTACTCTCCAATCTGTTGCCCTTCTCTTCATGCAGGGAAAACAGGGGATGGCTGAAGTGGTCTATTCTCTCACACATGTGAACTTGGGATGAGCCATGGGCCTGATGTATACCAGGATGGTGAGCACTGTGCACAGGAGGGAGTCCATGTAGCCCTGGCTTCAGGGAAATGCTGGAAGCTGCTGCCCAAGTTTGGAGTGAAGGGTCTTGGAGGGCATGAGCGTGAGTTGTTGGGAAACTGGGTTGTGACAAGGCTAAAATGGTAGTGAGCATCTTGTTTTTCCCTTTTAATCCGAGACAGTTTCTCATGTAGCCCAGACTGTCCTCAAATTTTCTATATGGCCAAGGATAATCTTGAACTTTTCATTCTCTTGCATTTACCTCCACAGTGTTGGTATTACAGGTGTGTCCTCATGCCCAATTTTATGAAATGCTAAGTATTGAATGCAGGGCCTCATGTATGCTAGACAACCACCCACCATAAATGAGCTACATCCTTGAACTGAGCATCCTGAAGGTGTTTGTGAAGAAGTTTTCTTAGTTATAAGTCTGGCCAATGTGCAATCTGACTTTTAAAGTATCTTTAGGTCGAAATACATACAGGACAGGGAATATCAAAGTTACTGTCTCTCCCTGTGGTAATAACAAGGGGCCAGGGCTAACCAGAGCACAGGTCAGAGACAGCGCTCAGGGCCCTGAGGGATAGAATTCAGGGAAACTTTGGTGTAAAGAGAAGGGGTAGCCAGGTTGCCAGGACTAGGGGTCAGAAGTGCCAGTTTCTCTGCTGTACCTGCTCAAAGGGGCTCTTGTTCTGCACACCCTTGGCTCCCACAAACACCCAGCTGTCACGGAAGGCTAGTTCCTTGGCGTTCCTGCTGCCCAGCTCAGAAAAAAGCTTCCTGGTCTCTTCATTCATCCTGTCACACAGTAGGAAGAAATGTGAACTGGGGACTGTTACTGTACTGGGACAACACTGAAGCTGGATTTGGCAGTCACTTACTTTGTAGCTGGATCATCATAGGATGCCACAAACACTAGGGTACCTTCATGCAGTGGCCGGATGAACTTCAAAAGATCATTGACATCTGGTGGAGATGGGCCCACAGAACACAGAGCTTCAGTTTCCACTGAGAAGCCCTTCCCCACCAAACAACATTCTTCTAATGAGGAAAACAATGTAGGGACTAGGCAAAGGCTGTTCCACATCGAGGGCTACCAGTATGAGCATAGGCAAACTGGTAAAGAAGCGAGGCCATCTGGTCACAAAACATAGACTCCAGACAGAGATCCCCCATCTCTATATTTTGTGAGGCCAAAGCTATACTTGAAAAGCTGAGTGCAAAGACACAGAAGGCAGGGCCTCAGGGAAAAAATAATAGGATGCTGTGGTAGCCACTCACCTCCAGCCCACATGTCAAAGGCTCTGGCTTCCAGGAGCTCACCACTGACCCCTGTGGCAAGAAGAGGAAGACCTGCTAAGCAAACTGTTTGGGCCATGCTACCTTTCTGTTTTAACCCCTAGCCCAGGCTCAAGTATAGAAGCTTGCAGCCCTTCCAGATGCTTCAAACATGCTGTCATCCTCTCATTCACAGAGCTGCAGCCCATGGAGCCTCTGGCATGAGGTCCTATGCACCCACCACTACTATCATGTTTTTGTTAACTGGGTGACCTCCTTTCTGGAGCTTTTGGCTGGCATAGAATTTTTCCCAAGCTTCCCCTGGAGTGCCCAGAAGCCACCTGCACCTGCAGAGGGAGTAATGAAATGAAGGGGGCAGGCCATATCATGATATCTGCTTCTATGGTCTGAACTCTGACCCCACAACATGGGGGACTCACCATTCACCAGAGCGATGTTCAGCCCACGGCCCACATTGTCCTTGACGCTGCTCATGAGCCTAGCAGGAGGGGCAGAAGATCCCTTGTGGGCATATCAGATTTTCTTTCTCACATAGCTGTTAGCCCTTGGCCCTTGCAGGCCTGGTCTCAAGTTCCCTCCCACTTCCCAGCCCATGTGCTCACATCTTGTCCTCGAGGCAGATCTTGGGCCCGATGACATTGGCAGCCCCGC